ATTTGTTAAGGATTAGGTTTTATGATGACTAGAGAGTCCATTACAAATATGAGTAACCCCTGGTTAGAAGAACAAGCTTTGATCTCAATTAAATCTGAGAACATCTGGCTTATTACTACTTAAAAGCTCTTGGGCGACTTAAAGAATCTCTAAACTACTGTTTCCTCGTGCATAAAATAGTCATAAAAGTAGTATCTCTTCATAAGACTTGTGAGAGTTAACTGAAGAAATTAAAATAAAATGCTTGGGACAGTTCACAGAAGAAGTGCCCAACAAATGATAATCATGTTAGACATTATTTTGAACTTTTGACTGTTGATATTTGTACATCATTTAGAAAGTTTGGCTCTTTAATAAGGCTCATTTTCTTTATTTTAGAGGCTGAGTTAAAGAAAGGAGGTGAGAAATAGAAGTTTTCCACCTGCTGGCTCTCTCGTTAAATGGCCTCAGTGACCGAGGCTGCACCAGGCTGTAGCCAGCAGTTTCTTCTGGTTCTCCCAGGAGAGTACAAGGACTCAGGCACTTGGGCAATCCTCCACTGTTTTCCCAGGCACATTGACAGTGAGATAGATTGGGTGTGGAATAACTAAGCCTGAAATTAACAATCACATGGTATGGCAGCACTGTAGGTAGTGGCTTAATGCACTATTCCACAGCATTGACCCCCAGGAAGTTTCAGCTTGATTCTTTCCCATCCATATTAATGTTTGAGGAACCATAAATAGGGATTATGTAATAATATGTTTTATTTTTCATTTGTAAATATTTATCCTCACTAAAAAGTGTCAGTTTTTAGGTGAAAAGATACTTTAGTGGTATACTTGTTTTCATGGTAAACATCAGGTTTCTTGGTTATTATACATATTTGTGTGTGTGTGTGTGTGTGTGTGTGTGTGTGTGTGTGTGTGTACCTGAGAGAGAGAAAGAGAGAAAGAGAAAGACAGGGAGGGAATGTCCCAACATTTCAGTGATAAAACTTGAACTCGGCATGTATGGCTTAAAGTCCCAATTTTATGGATAGCATTTGGCTGATCTTTAAATTTGGACTGTGGTACTGTATGATGTCATCTGGGGTTGATCTTTGTTGAAAACTACTTTTTTTTTCTGTTGACATATAAGGAAGACACATGGTAATGCCTGACTGCGGAAGCTTCCCGTCCAGTTTCTCAGTTTACACATAACGGAAGTGTAGGGAATGAGAGCATGTGTCAGTTATCGCAGATGGAACACCTGATCCCATGCCCAGCCAATACCAGTATTTATGTTGGCATAAATGAGCCAGCGGGATTAGAAGACTTGTCCTGCTTGTCCATTGCTGTTGAATGATGACAATGAAATGTGTGATAGTCATGCTTTGGTATCTTGAACATTTTAACTTGTACAACTAGTTCATGATCATAAGACATGGGCTACTTGTAATGAAATTAGTACTCGGGAAAAATGGATGTTGCAAACTATTTTATTGAGCATCAGAGTGTTTTGATTTTTTAGTTGTTGCTTTCTTAATGTGAGAAAATAAGCAAATGTTTCATGGAAAAGCAAAGTTTAGTAAAAATGCTAGCTTCCGTCTAATATTTATTCCCATCTACTAGAAAGGGGAATGGAGAGAATCTTTCATCTGCTGGTTTACTTCCCAGATGCTCACAGTAGCTGACTGGCCCAGGCTGAAGCTTGACATCTGGGACTCCATCTTTGTTTCTGATGTAGTTGGCAGGATCCTAAGCACTTGAGCCATCAGCAGACCACTCAGGTATATTAGCAAGAAGTTGAGTCAGAATTGGAAGGATTGGAATTCAAATCAGGTTCTCTGACATGGGCTGTGGGCCTCCCATGTCACACGTGTACCTGCTGCTTTGTAATACTCAGCCCTACATTTCCAAAAAGACACAAACACTTTTTCAGCTCTTCTGTCCTGCCCTTCTCTTATGATTATTCAAGTATAAATGTTTTGGTGAACTTTGTTTCAAACTATAGGTTTCTGGATTTCTGATGATAATAATGATAATAATAACAAAATTTAGTGAAGAATTTGCTGCTTTTTCACATAAATTAACTTTATCACGATTTCCCTTAGTACTAATATAATTGTTGATTTGCTAATTGGGTAGTCATTTTAATATTCTCATTAATTTATGCATTTGACCGTAATTCTCTGAGTTCTACATCCTGTACAAAACAGTACGTCAGGAGCTGGAAGGATTATACAGTAGAATAGAACCCATCGCTATCCTTAATGATCTTGTCTTCCACTACATGAGGTAATCTGTACACTCAAGTAATATAGAATCTGAAGAGATTTAACGTAGTAAACTTCAAAGAGGAGCAGGTGACGTGGCTTACAGATCGTAGAGTCAGTGTTCTGCTCACGGTTTCTGTTGCCTGCCATTCCAGGTGACCTGAGTCACGTTTCATTCAAGTATATGGTTTCTTTTGAAAATGTACTTTATTAAAATAACTACACAAATGTTAAAGTAACATGTTATCTTGTGTGTATGGCATATGATTTGTTGCAGGATAAAACCAAGTTTAGTTATTCTTAATCTCTGTTTAATGTAACTTGATGTATTTTGTCTCCAACTCCTTTGGAGTATGAATGGCTAAATCATGCAGAACCTCATGCTTAAAGTGAAAGGGCTGTGCAGCGGACACGGGAGGGCTGACTTCAGATGTGTAGATCACCAGCGTTCTAAAAAGTGTTTTTTTAACATCTGAGGAGCCTTCATAGCTGAATCGCTCTTTTGATCCTGCTTTCAAGTGCTCATCCATTTAGAAATATTTTGACGGATTGTCACATGAATGAGAAAGTCAGTATATGAATACTGCCTTCAATTTTACTGAGATCTGTGCAAGTTTTAGCCAGTATTGGCAGGAAAGAAAAGATACAACTTAATAATTTCACAGAAGTCCTTCTAGGATACAAATTTCCTGACATGCTCTCAAGAGCATGTTTGCAATCTATCGATTTAACCTTATTATAAAAGATTCTTTAAACACTATTTAAGATGAAGCAATCTTTTCAACTTCTTAGTATTCCTTGTTACCTGAAACACTTTACAGTACGCTAGCAGGGGTGTGACTGACATAATCTAGGTTTGTAAAGTGGAAGATGCAGTCAGTCTCTGTAATAGGCTCTGTTTTAAAAGTTTAATTAAAACATTCTATCAGGGAGAAGGTGTTTTGGGTTAATTCACCCTTGGGAAGCCATGTCCTGTGTTGTAGTCCCGGGGAAGGAGTCCTGCCTTCAGTTACAGTCGAGCTCCCTGCTAAGGCTTGCAGGAGGTAGGAGAGGATGTTCCAAGTACTTGGGCCTGGGTCGTCGTGTGGGAGATCCCAGTGGCATTCCAGCCTTCTGGCTTTGGCTTGGGCCAGCCCCAGCTGTGCCATGCTTCTGGGGAGTGAAGCCTGGATGGATAGCTTCACTGTCTAGCACCAATCTATCCTTTCTCTTCCTCTACTTCTCTTAACTCTCTGTCACTCTGGTTTTTAAGCAAATAAATGAGGATTAATATTTAAAAAGCAATGCCTGCAGAACAGGTAGCAGGCAGGGTGTATTTGAGGATTTAGTGTTTTGCTCTGTTGGCCGTTTGTTTTCTTGGCTAACTGCTCTCAGTTTTATCCCAGATGGGCTAAAGCTACACCTAGAATGGGGTTTGTTGGAAACTTTGTGGCTCCATATAGTCTTACAAATGTTTCTATCTTGTTCTGCTCAGCGTGTTGTCAGCTGAATTATGAAGAATACTCTAAGGCATTCATGATTTGAGTGAAGACTCTTCAAGAGCACAGCCTGACCCTTAAGAATGTTCCTCAGTTATTGAAAATGAAGTGAATGTGGTTATAGTAAAGTCACAAATGGAATCTGTTTATGTCAAGAAGGTGTTTGAGTGCCTAGTAAATCTTTGGTCACTTCTGAGTTTAAATAGATCTCATCTATATTTTTGACCCATGAAATCATGCTAGATTTGCTTGCTAATCCCTAAAACCTCCATCACAATGAGAAATGATGGGTTTACTGGGAAATAATCTGAAAGCACAAGTGATGGCCTCTTTGCGGAGATGCCTGTTTTGCAACCAAAGTTTCACCATTCAATACCGTTACTTTTAGATGCTAAATGTTTACATTTCCACAGTGATTAAGGAAAGCATTTTTATTTCCTGTTACAGTTCTTCCTTCCTGTTCTGGTTTTGAGCAGTAGATGCTAGAAACCACTGTGCACCCTCTGCCTTTAACTTCCGTCCAGAAAGGAACACTGTTCCAACATCATCTGGAACTTGTCTGACATTGATAATGTGGTGCAGAGCAGTTCTAAAAATAAAGGCAGGATTGTTGTGTCCATTACGAGCAGCTTATTTCATCACTGTTATTTTTCACTTGTGGCCTTGTGCCTTGTATGGTAGTTTCTGTTTCTGCGAACGAGCTATGAAGAGCTGTTCTATTCTTGGGCTGTGGGAATGCTGAAGTACCGAGCCTGTGTTTTTGAGAGTAATGTTTGGCTCATACAAGGAGCCTGTGTTCTGCAAGTGTAATGTTTGATGCGAGTGAAGGGGATTATCATCCATGGGAACTGAGCCTGAGGAATGGAATAGAAAACGCCACTCTCAGATAAGAAATGCTTTTTATGGAGACTATATTGAACTACACAAAATGTAATAATGCAGCATTATTAAGTAGTAGACTTACTTGCGATCCTACTGCCTGATGGGAAAGTCAGTTTCAACTTTGTGGTATCAGGACATTTTAGTTTGATCCGGTCATCAGGCAGCACTGTGCTTTACCTGTGTTAACTGGCTCAACCCTAATCAACGAGGGTCTCACAGTACAATCTTAGAATAACCTGAGAGGCAATATGGACGTTTCCTACAAGTGTAGTAGCTTTATGTGGAATAGTAGATTTTTTTTCCATTTATTAAAGAAAGAAGAGGATGTCAAGATTCTTAGTAATTTTATGCTCCCTGTGTTATAACTTAGTTGTTTAGATTGGTCTTTTTTTTCCCCCTTTTAGATATTGGCTCAGTCATGTACTGAAATCCTGGAATTGCGGCCCTCAAGTGTCTGTGTAGGGGGTGAGTGTTTAGAATTGAAAAATATCGTGAAAAAAACTTGTATTTTTTTCCTAGCGAAAATGTATGATTTGAAGCTCATGTTGGAAGAAGAGCAGCAAAATTAACTTTTTTGGCATCTTTTTTTTTCTGTAAGAATTTTTAAATAATTCCTTGAAATATTTCTATTTAAAATTCAAATTTTTAAGATTGGAATGTTATTTTAAATAATGAGCATATTGTGTGACAGGCTTTTAGAATCTTCTGTATGTTTAGTTCACATCTGAGACCTTTCCGGTGGCACAGAAAATACAGTATGAAACCTTTCCTTTCATCTGGCTATACGGTCAAGTCTCTGTAGACTTTGAATCCCATGCTGTGACCATGATGATGACCTGATCAAGGCATAACATTTCCAACTTAGACACATAAGGAAGTACTTATGGGTGGGTGGCAGGATGGAAGCAGGTGGCTGTCAGCTGTGTTAGAACAGACTTGATTTTGCACCTCTCAGCCGTCCTTGCCCAGAGAGAGTGTATATCTTTTTGGACATTTATATCGTCAAGTCTGACCTGCAATTCATTGCAACAAGATTTTATTTTAAAGAGTATTGAAGGGTGAGTGTTTGCCACAAGGGTTAAGCTGCATTTGGGATGCGTGCATGCCTTGTCAGAGAGTCTGGGTTTGAGTCCAGATTCTTGTTACTGTGTGCTCTGGTAGGCAATGTGTGGTGGCTGGAGGACCTGGATCCTTGCCATGCACATGGGAGATCCAGATGAATCCCTGGGTTCTGCCTGGAATAGCCCCCGTTGTTGTAGACAACTAGGGGGTGAACCAACAGATTGAATATCTTTGTCCAACTAAAATGGAGGTATATAGATAAAAATCTAAAGTGAGCATTGAGTCTTGTGAGGAGTATGTTGTATCTTTGACCACAGAGCCTCGCATCCTGCTGGATCTGGCTTCTTTTTAAATAAAGATTTGTTTTGTTGATTTGAAAAGCAGAGTAACAAAGAGAGAAACAGAGACGCACTGAGAGGAGTCTTCCATCTGCTGCTTCACATCCGAAATGGTGACGATAGCCAGGAGCAAAAAGCTTCTTCCAGGTCTCCTATGTGGCTGGCGGGAGAGCAAACACGTGGACCATCTTTGCTGCTTTCCTAGGTCATTAGCAGGGAGCTGGATCCGAGGAGGAGCAGCTGGGTTATGAACCAGCAGCATTTTGGGTGATGGCTTAACCACCGACACTGTTACATTACTCCTGGACCAGATCTTGCTCCCTGCATTTTATAAACCTCTTAGTACTTAGTCATTGAGCTATTAAACAGAAACAGTGTATCCAAACATCTCAAAGCATGGATGAACACATTTCTAAAGATACTAAGGAAAATGAAATCAGTGAATAATATGAAATTGTTACTGTTCATTCAGTTTGTATTATGTTATGGCTTCATATTGAGTCCTTTGTAGTTTTCATTTGTTTGACATTTAAAAAAATATTTTAAGGGTCGGCATTGTGACATAGTGCCAGCTCTTGCAATGCTAAAATTCCATGTGAGCTCCGATTCAGGCCCCAGATGCTCTACTGCTTTTTCAGCTCCTTACTGATGGATTAACAAAGGCAGCAGAAGATTGCTAAGTACTTGGTCCCCTTGCTACCTATGTGGGAGTTCTGGAATAAGCTGCTGGCTCCTGGCTTCTCGCTGGCCCAGTACTGGTTTTTGTGGCTAAGTGAAAAATTGAGCAGAGAATGGAAGATTTCTTCCTCTGTCTTCTTCCTCTGTCTCTCCCCCTCTCTGTAACTCTGTTTAATAGGGGAGAGAGGAATCTTCCATTTTTTTTTGGTTCACTCTCCGAATGAGCACAATAGCTGACCCGCTCAGCTTGGAAGCCTTGAATCAGATTGGGTCTGTTTTACGGCTAACAGGGACACAAGGGCTTGAATCAGTGCCTGCTACTTCCCGGGATGCACGTTTAGAGAAACTGGGTGTCGGAAGAAGGTACCCTAACTCAATTTCTCCAATAGGGGTATGGGTCTCCCGAGGGTATCTTATTTGCTGTGCCAAACAGCCACCCCTATGTTTGTCATTTCTCTAATGTGAATAGGTTTGATTGTTTTTTGCACCCTGGTTTGCCAGTGGGGACATTAAGAAAGAAATGGGTTCAGTGCTTACCCAGGTAATTTTCCTGTCATCCTTGTTCATCTGGCTCTAATGCCCATATTCTAACGGAATGGCATTTTAACTTTTACCTGTAGTTTAACTTATAAATAAATTTTCTTGTAAAATGCACTGAGTGAAATGTGGCCTGGCAGTATTTTCTTGTTTAGCTAATGGCTTGATCTGTGTTAGATTAAATGTTGGATAGATGTTTGAGAGGATTGAGGATGTTAAAGGAAATTGGAACACTGTCAAGGTGTGAAGATTCTTGGCGCAAAGCCAAGGAAGCCCACACGTGACTTTTAACCTTGCTTGATTTGCAAACATATGGAAAATGTAACTTAAAGCTATGTTGCATATCTATTAAAATAAATCATAACTTAAGATTAATCATTCAAACATAACCAACCTACAAAAAGATTTCTGGGAGGACTTTCCACGAGACAGAGCAACTCAGACAACTGAACAGCTGTAGCCAGTCCCACACTTTGTTTGCTGTACTTCTTTGTCCTATAAAAGTTGCCCCTGGATTCTCTGTGGTGAACTTCTATTTCTGATTGAGAACTTTAGTGAATTATTGCACACTCAAATTCTTCAAAATATACTGTGTCAGTTTACCTTCCCACCCACAGTTAATCAGCGCTGCTAATCCACAGTACTGCGGCTAAGCAGGAAGCACTGTTTATCGGGATCACAGATCAGTTTTTCTTCCAGCATATTCTTTCACTCACTAAAATGTAGTGCTGTTGCTATTACATAGGTAAAGTACAACGTTAAATTAACTTCCTTCAGTTACTTGTCATAGACTATTCCCAATCCCAAGTATTTCAGTTCCGATGATTTGGTAATTTGTGTGTAATGAAAATGATGACAGAATTAGTAGGCTGAAGACATTGTTATGAAAGAGCTCTGTGTGGAAGAGGCATCAATTAAGAAAATAGAGCTCATGACTTTTCTAAGAACCAAAGAACATGAACGATGAGGCTTCTTTATGTTCCCAAGTTTTAATACCTGAAGAGGAGAACAAAGCAAAATGATTTCTTTCTTGCTGATATGTTTGTATGGATAGAATTTGGGGGAAGTTTGAATATAACTCTCTAAAATGTAGCTCTCTACTACCCTGGGCCCCATTGGAAAACACTCCGTTTGGAGAAGAAAATAGCACATCCCAGTTGGGTAGTGTAGAGTGCCTCTGCTACATTTACCTAGACAGGAAGCATAACTGGAAAAACAGAGCTATATCTTCATGTTATCATTTAATTGAATAGTATGAGGAAACTCAGTCTATGTGCCTTGATGTATTCATGTCTTTTTTTTTTTTTTTTTGATAAAGCATTGACTGAAATATCTCTTTTCTCTTTACTTCTAGAGGAATTTCAAATTGTTTTGACCGGAAAAGGATTCTCGTTGGGCAGTCGGAATGGCAGTGTCCTCTGCACTTATTCTGTAAATGAAACATACACAAAGAGTAGGTCCCGCATGACCTTAGGGTTTCTTAAATGCCTACGCAATGTGTTGACACCAACTGTTTTCTATTTCTTCTAAAACCAGCCGTGCTATATATTTGTATTTCTTATTTGAGGAGGAAATGAAGTCTCAATAATACAAATAGTAATGATTATTTAATAGTTATTAAAGTGGTAATATTTGTTTATATAAAATGTTTTAAGTAGACTCATTATCCCTTTTTTTAAAAAGATTTATTTATTTTATTGGCAAGTCAGATATACAGAGAGGAAGAGAGACAGAGAGGAAGATCTTCCGTCCGTTGATTCACTCCCCAAGTGGACACAATGGCCAGAGGTGCGCCAGTCCAAAACCGGGATCCTGAGCCTCCTCCAGGTCTCCCACGCAGGTGCAGGGTCCCAAGGCCTTAGGCCATCTCCAACTGCCCTCCCAAGACACAAGCAAGGAGCTGGACGGGAAGCAGGGCTGCCAGGATTGAACTGGCACCCATATGGGATCTTGGTGCGTGCAAGGCAAGGACTTTAGCCACTAGGCTATCGCCCCAGGCCTGACTCATTATCTCTTTGACTGAAAGTGTAAGTCATTTGCGATGATGACACAGTTAATTATAATAATGGACAGAACTGATCTTGAAACCCTGTTTTCAAGCCCATTGTTTATATGGCTTCAGTGGACTTATTTATTTACCTCTTTCTCCAGGATTATTTCTTGCCACTTTTGCCTTGAAGTCTAATCATCTTAAGCAGTTCCACTGTTCAATATCTTGTATTGTTACTTTAAAAAATACCCTAATTTCCTGGTACTTTGTGAGTCAGTTTCTTGAAGGACAGGGTTTTTTTTTTCTTTTTAAATTTCCAGTGCTTATCCAATAAATGGTCTATTGAAAAATAATCATATTATGGGATTGGAGTTTATTTTCTCTGGTTTCAGTTTTCAAAAGAAGTTAAATGGATTTGAGTGTTCTGAGTGTTTTAGTTCTTTGCGAAGGTTTCCTCATCTATAGCTGTATTGCTTTGTATCCCTGCGAACTCCAGCTGAATTCCTTTACTGAGAGATTCATCTGTAGTTACCCTACTTATCTGATGGTGCCAAACACTCCAGGTAGCATAGCTTTGGCCACACAGAAGCTGTTCAATATGTGTCTGTTAAACTGAACTGCTAGAAGATTTCAGTATGCTAAATGTCACAATTACTGTTTTTTATATGGAGATAGCCATTCTGATAAGGCAAAACATTAGTATTTGCAACAAATGCTCTTCATAGTAGGTTTCGCAGATAAATAGGACCAAATAATTTTCAGTATTAACTTGTAAGTTTTAATTTCTCTAACTTTTAATTATATATTTGAGTTGGTTATAATATATGTACATTTTATGCTTAGTTACGTAAAATTAAGCATTTCACTTAAATCCTCAAAGAATCAGAGTTATATTTTCATTTCTTACATTATAGGGTGGTCCAATTTATGTTATTTTTCAAATATTGCTAGCTTAGTTTGCTTTTTTTTTTAGATTCCAAGGATAATTTAAGCACCATTCCTATATGAAATAGTTTATTGCTTCTATTTTCTTCCTTAGGTATTTCATAAGATACTTAATACTTAACCCTTGTACTCTGATTGAGGAATGCATGTTATATTACTAATGAAACTGTGAGTTATAGAAAATGCTTTATTAATTCGATTGTGTTTTATTTTCTAGGTGTTAAGCCAGTAAGTGTACAGGTTAATTCCATGCTTTGTCCTGCTCCGATCCTTACTAAAGTTGGAGAGTAAGTACTTCAAAACAATTTAAAACATTTTAACAACAAATTATTGGAAAATGGTGACAAACATACATGGGTAGTGGTTTTGCATTTTTTTTTCTTGTTTGTATGGAGGGAACAGTGGCTCAGTGTGGCACACCTTGAATCTGGCAACCTTTCTATATTTGCATTAACTTGTACATTGTTTAGAGTCCCATTCCTGATACAGTATTAACTCATGTTTGTGTGTGTGGCAACTAACCATTAATGATAAAATAAGGGGGCATTTAATTAGTAAGAAGGGTTATATTTGCGATTTTTTCCTATCCCCTTTATTATGGAGCAAATTATTGCAAATACAGCAAATGTCCACTTGCTCAACTGTAGTGGATACAAATGCTTACAATAATGAATTGGTTACAGTTTGCTAGAAGTAGTTCATACTGATCTTTCACTGAAAGCAGAGAAAAATTAGATATTAATTACAAGTCAAATAAAAATTAAAGATTAAATGCAACCCTAAGTCTGGAAAAATTGAGTGGAAATTATACTTTCCTCTGTGGAACATCAAAAGAACAATTGTGGTCCTCCATGTTGACTTGAGCACTTTCCCACTGTGGATGCTTATTAACTCCAAGGTGTCTGTTGAACATCACTGAGACCATTTAAACAACTTGGAGCAGGGTCAGCTTCTGTTTTAAATACGCTTTAAGGGACTGTGCCATAAAACAATAAGATTGTTATCCAAATTCTGGGACTCTAGTGTTATTGACAACGTGTATACGAGTGAATGAGATTGGTACTGGAATTTGAAGCAGGTCATTTTGCATGACTCTGGTGTATGGTAGGATAACTTGTTGTCCATGAGAATTTATTTGGCTTGAAGTTGGGTTGTAATTTATTGAATCTGAAAGTTTTGTGTTGGTTTTCCCTGTTGCTCCCTGCTGATCTTGCCATGACTTTGCTTTCAGGCTGAGTTTTCTGCTTTTGTCATTGGGAGCTTCTCCTTTTCATTGTTAGCAACCTTTGAATCATTGATCCTTGATTTCTCACACTCAGTCCATCAGCAAATCTCAACGTTGCTTTCAGAATATGTCCAGAACTCAACCTCAGCCCACTGCTTGCGCTACTCACATCTTAAACTAAGCTACTGTCACTGCTTGCTTGGCGTGGCCTGCTCCTGGCAAAAGTAATTTTGTAAGTAGACCAGCCCCATTGCCTAGAATTCTTGGCTATAAATCCCTTCTCCCAGTCAGACTGAAAGAGTGTTCTCTGCAAGATGAGGCTCCTCCAGAGCTCTCTTCTGATGCCCCTGCCCTGAGTCAGTTACTGTCACCATGGCCTCTGCTGATGCTTGAGCCAATCAGCAGCTTACTCTCTCTGCCTTGAATGCAGTCCCCTTCTTGTCTCACTGCCCTGCTGTCTCCACGTCTAGTCTAGTGTCACCTTCTTAGTAAGCCCTTCCTCGTAACTCTGGTTCCCTGGGCAGTGCTCCCCTACCCTGGGTCCGTGACTCCTGTTTCCTTTGCAGGTTGTCATTTTTCTCAGAAGTGCTTCCCCGTCTGTCATTGTGTATCTCCTTTCTGCTGCATGATATTTCATTTCTCTTGCTTCTTGTGTCTCTAACACTCACTACTAGCACCTCACACTTAGCTGGAGTCACTGAATAAGGAAGATGAAAACAAGTTAGTTTTTCTCAAATATTTTGACTTAGCAATTATTATGAAGAGTTAAAAGAGCCGTTTCTTCTCTGGGGACGAGAGCCTGTGTTGGAATTTTGCTGTTTTTGTTGTAGGATTGGGCATATCATTTAAAAAGAGCAGAACACTTTATTGGCTTTTTAATGGAAGTGACTTAACAGGAAGGAGGCTAAATTCTCCAGAGTAGTTGTAAAATTTTCCTGTTATCTTTTGGGAGTGGAATTTAACTCTTCTGGAATTTGCCTTTGGGTATAGCCTCGGTTTAAATAGGACATCATAGAGACTGCTAATAATCCCATGATGATCCATAGCTGATCTAAATATTCAAGGGACAGGACTTTTAAAAATCAGAGCAACGTCATAAACATTGGACGCAGGAAGTAATTATTTATTTTGCTTTTGACATTGCTATTTCACTTAAAGCAAAGGGAGAATGCTTTGGGATTGATACCTGTCAAACAGGATTATTCTTTTTCCTTCTTGCTTGCTAATTTTTGTTGTTGTTGTTGCTTTTGTTTTGATCAAACACATCCTACCCTTGAATCCAATCTGTGGAAGGTTTTCTTTGTGAATGTGCTGAGTATTTGGGAACATCATTATGTGTTCTGTCTAGCATGTTGCAGGCAGTTTCCTTTGCTTTGGGCTGTCTTCAGACACTTTTGTGGGTGATGAGCTCTCTCTTATGAGGTTGGATTAAAATCAGTATAGCTGGAACAGTGAAACCTCGTAAGGTGACTGATGCTTAATATGTTTGCCTAATTAGCTTTTGGCGAAGGATTCAAACCCATTAAGTAGCTAGTTAGTCTATGATTCAAATAAACACATCTGGCCCAGCAGTGAAGGAAGGTTTTTCCTGTGTGAGGGTGACAGATGTGGCGATGGTTCCCCGTATTCTCTCCCTTAAATAATTAACAAGGTGCTGGTGAAGTAACGCTATGCGTGCAGCCTGAAAGCCAGATGCGTGGTCTCAGAGCTGCATCCGCAGGCACGTGCCTCATCTCATTAGGCTGCTCTGTCATTCCTTTCTCATAGCTGCGTTACATTCTGAAATAATTTTGCTTGAGGATTATTCTTTCAAAAACTTGGTGCTCGCGGACATTAGTTTAAAAGAGGTTAACCTGAAGACATTTACTTACTGGTGGAAACTAAGAATGCAGGAAGGCAGCTAAGACTCAAGTTTTCATTCAGAAAATGTCATGGAGTAAAGAAAGGTTTCTGGACAAATCGTATCCAGGGATTGGACACTGCCATTGCTGAGCATGGTCAGAAACCTAAAGAACTTTCTTCAAGAAATTCTGTATTTAGTTGATGTGTTTAATTGCAATTTAATGCTTGCAGTAGTGAGGTTGTTCTTTCCTATTTCTTTCACTGGCCACAAGTTACTGTGAAAATGCCTTATAACTAAATGCGTTGTTCTACCAAGAAACATCCGCGGGTGATTGAAGAGTTTAATTTCTTCAGTGGTTCCTCTGTACAGTGGCTCCTTTGTAGCAACATGTCTGTCATTGTACGAGGATGGGCTCCTGGAAGTTCTTGGGGTGCTCCCCGCAGTGTCCTCACAGCTTGCCGCGCAGGTATCACATCGCCTTTACAACGCAGGCTTGTTCTCTGACGCGTGTTTCGTGTGACACCAATAATAGCACAGCTGCTCTGTAATAGTTGAGATCTCAAACCTGTAATTTGGCAAGAAGAACAGAACAAATTGGGTAAATATACATAAACACTTTGTGAAGAAAGAGAAACAGAACAGAATGAACCAGAGCCTTATCCTACAGCTTGTTTGATAGAGATGATTTAAGGAGGCATATGGTATAGCTAAATGTGCTTTCAAAAACATTGGCCAGAGTCTTCTGGCAAATATGAGATAAATATCTAAATCAGATGAAAGTGATAGTATTAGTCCTCCTAAGCGCAGTGTTGGAAGGCACTTGACAGCTTGCTTTGAGTACGATGTGGTGCCGCATCCCTGCATGTGGGCAATTTCAGGTGCCCGATACTGATACATCTGGAAAACACAGCGTGGCCCCCATGGGGTTAGAGCCTGGCCTGAGGAGAGTGTCTTTTATTTCTCTTAACACTTTGACTCTATCAGTAGTAAGCTGATATTTTGGTTGGGAGAGAAATTGATTGCTTCTATTTCCTCTACTTGAGTAGCTTCTGCATTGTTGATAGCCTTTCTGCTTTCCCAAGGGTTACCTGTGTGTGCACGTGTGTGTGGCTGTAAGGGTTCTAGGTTGTTCATTCTTCTGACCCATGTCCTCTGCAGGTGATACAGCTGTAACTGTGTTCTCTCTTGTAAGAAACAAGAATTTTAAAAAAAAGTATCTGTATACCAGGACGTTAGACTTTTATTTTGAATGTGTATGCTAGGATCTTGGTGAGATGGGAGAAAGGCTGTTCTTCCATGTTTATTTAAGTTACATATATAAATTGAGACACCCTATTTAATTGTGAATCCTTTAGCCAATTTCAAGAAAGTGTCCTTTAGACAGAACATATGATTTACATATATATGCCCCGCCAGAAGTGGAATTTCTAAAACAACCATTCACTAATGTGAAATGCTAGTTTTTAATTTGAAATCTTCATTGTGAATTAACATTTTTAAAGCTCCACAGAATACTAAATAGTACTACTTGATTTCAAAAATCTTGATTTTAATAACTTTTTGAGCAGTTTCCAATTTAATTTTCAGTATGTGCAAATTGAAGGTAAATTATGTATCACTTCTGGTGAACATCGTTTGCAATTTAACTTCATACTTTTTAAATGGATCATAAAATGTCAGTCTTTTATTGGCCATACATAAACTTAGAAGCAAATGAATATTTTGCAAATAGGTTGCTGTGGATTGAAATGTCAACCATGTTTCAAGGAGTATGAAATTTCTCAGATCAGAGGAGCTCTGACATATGGCTGCTCTCCTGCATCTTCAGGCATTAAATAAAAGTGTTGTGACTGTTAGTGCCGATTGAATTTTACTACTCAATTACCCACCACAATATGATTTAATAATTTCTCTTCTGGCACGCATTTAGTACTCTTGTACTTAGCTTAGTCAATGTTCATTGCATGCTGGTTGATGTAAAAATGCACTTTCAGAACCTTTTTGTACTTAAAGATTTCTTTTATTTGTCTATGTTGAAAAACTAGTCCAAGGTTGGAATCAAGAATGGGATATGTTAAACGGTGTGGAACTAATTTGTGGAAAAGGAAGTTGAAAGTATTGTCAGTTGTCAGTCGAATCTTCTTGGCCTCCTTGAAAACATCAGCATTTGACCTTCATTTTTGTCTCAGAAAAAGGTCTGCTGGTGTCTCCCATGACTCCATGTTTTCCCTGACTCTGTTTTCCCCTCAGGTACCATTTCTTCATCTTCATAGGATTCCGTAGTTATCAGTTTTCGTCATGGTTGGATTCCTGACTCATAACCTCAGCTTCTCTAAAGATTTCATTTTCTTGTTCATGAGCCCCACATTTGTCCTTAGCTCTAAATCCCCTGTCCAAAACTTTTCTATGCTAATATCTACTAAGATATTTGAATTCCTCATTGGCATTGTAGGCTTGGAGATCCCAAATTAGACTGATGTTGCTATGCTCAAATGTGTTCCTTTTGCTGTATTTCCTGGGAACCAGGCAATATGTGAATATGGTCAAAAGCAGGAGGAGTGATACTAAGCTCATGTCAGTGAGAAAAAATTGCATATATGACCATAAAAGGTATGTTAAGGGTAACAGAGTCAGAGGGATCCAATATTTAGGCAACATTTTTACCTTTTTAAATGAAAATTTATGTATTTGAAAGTGAGTTACACACACACATGGGGGGGTGTGGAGGGGGGGAGGGAGAGAGAGAGAGAGAGAGAGAGAGAGAGAGAGTCAGAGAGTTTTTTTATTTGTTGTTTCACTCCCCAAATGGCCACAAGCCAGCAGCCATGAAGCTTTCTTTGAATTTCCTACGTGAGTGTTGGGGGTCCAAGCAGTTGGGCCAGTTTCTGCTGGAGCAGCCAGGATTCGAACTGGTGCCCTTGGGCGATGCTGGCACTGCAGGTGGCAGCTTTACACGTTATGTTACAGCACTAGCATCAGTAAACTACCTGTTTTAAGATTCAGTTTTCTTCTCTGGAAATTATTGGACACAATACTAATGCCTACTCAGTGGGCTGTGGTGAGACTCAAGTGAGAAGATGAATTAGTGTGTTTGTCTCCTAGCAAGAAATCAGTAAGTGCCATTGGTAGTGATGTCTTGATCACGAAGCTGCAACTTTGAGGGAAGTGAGTGTTTTGTTTCAGTTCAGTCCATCTGTCAAACAAGCATCAAGTGGACTTCCAGATTTGTGGAGACTTAAGTTGTTTGATGACAGCCACAGATTTTTTTTGGCTGGCTGTAAGATCTCGCTAACATGGCATTTGTATTATAGGAAGGTATGAACTTGGTCTTAAATTTGTATCTTATATTCTTATTCCATGTTAATAAGCATTAGGAGTTGTGAACATTTCGTACATGAAAAATCCTTTTGTTTCTAGTAATTCCGAAGTGCCAGATGATGATAGGCAATGCCAGTCACTCTCTCCTGATCTCTTAGGTCATGTGGTAAGCATATATCATGAATCAAAACAATGTTGTTCCAAAATCAAAATAGTTCAGGCATGTCAAATGACTCCTGGAACAGGCATATACAGCAGGAAGATTAGGAACTAAGAGAGATTATTTTTGGATTCAGTTGTGCTTAGTCATTAAAACAAAGCAAGACAAGGCACTCAGTTCTGCAGAGTAAGCACTCAGGTTCCGGTGTGCTTTCTTAAGCCAGTTGCTGGGCATTTTGTGTTGGGTTAGTGCTGATTTTCAGTTCGTTTGATTTAAACCCTACAATCTGATTATTTACTGGACTTAAGCTTTTGTTTAAAAACATATCTTGAAGTGGTATTTTTCAAGAAAGATTTGTAATAAGAATATTTTTGAGTTTTGAAAAAGAGACGAACCTGAGCTTCCCAATAGTCCCTATATGAATCCAAATGAAATATCACATTGAGAAAAGAAATACGGTAAGGCCTTTCATCATTTCATCAAGCCTCTGTAGTGTGATGGAGAGTTCCAAATTAGTTATAATCAGTTTTACTTCTTTAGGCAAGACTGTTACTGTTTGTATACCTCCTGCACCACATGTGTAAACTTGTAAGCCACTATTTCAGGGGCCATTCTGAACACTGAGTGAGGAAATGATGATAAACAGCCAAAGACTGGGTCTGGTACATCTCAAGGACTAAATATTACTTCTAATTTCTCCTCTGTGTCCTCATTACTGAAAATGGTGCCAGTGACTTCAAGTGGCTTCCCTCTATGTTGTTCACAACTGATGATATTGAAGCCATCAAAAAAAAAATTCTAAATCTAATTTTTAAAATTCTACTAATTTAGCATGAAGTTTCTGGCTTGGAATTCAGAATATTTTATGATAATTGGAGCTGGATGCTTTAAAAAGCATGGAATTGAATATAACCATATTAACAAATGATGTCTACTACTCTTTCTGTTTTTAATGAATGGGCAGCTTTGGTTTGTTAGCATACTGATTATTGTATGCACTAAACTTAGCACTTTTAGAGAAGAGCTATTTCCCTCCATACGTTAACACACTCGTCACTTTTTCCTTTGATTCACGTTATAGCCTTTTATTTTTTATTTATTTATTTTTTTACTGCAAAGTCAGATATACAGAGAGGAGGAGAGTCAGAGAGGAAGATCTTTTGTTCGATGATTCACTCCCCAAGTGACTGCAACGGCCGGTGCATCTGAAGAGAGGAGCCAGGGGCTCTTCCAGGTCTCCCACATGGGTGCAGGGTCCCAAGGCTTTGGGCCATACTCAACCACTTTTCCAGGCCACAAGCAGGGAGCTGGATGGGAAGCAGTGCTGCCAGGATTAGAACCAGTGCCCTCATGGGATCCTGGTGTGTTGAAAGCGAGGACTTCAGCTGCTAGGCCACCGCGCCGGGCCCAGCCTTTTATTTTTAAAAAATATTTTTAAAGACAATTCATTTAGTTACAAGGCAGAGTTACAGAAAGAATCTTCTGTCTTTTGGCTTACTCTCCCAAATGACTGCACAGGCCAGGGCTGTGCCAAGTGCTAGCTAGAAGCCATGAGCTACGCATCGGTTTCCCATAGGAGTGGTAGGGGTCCAAGGTCTCAGGCCATTTCCCTCTCTTCTTCCAGGCACATTAGCAGGGAGCTGGTTCAGAAGTGGAGCAGCGAGGTGGGCTCCTCGGGCTTTACCCAGTGAGCCCCAGTGCCTGTCCCTGTTACCTTGTTATAGCATTTGAAAACAAAGTCATACCTCTTCAGACCTGATTCTAAAGAATGAATTACTAGACTCTGAATTCCTAAGATTTTAATGATTGTAATTTGCTCTGTAGTATGTCTTCCAAATGGCATCTGTTTTTAACAATGATATTTCTGAACAGATGCCTGCCTACACATCTCTTTTACTTTTATTCATTTTCTCGCTTTCATTTTTACTTTTCGTGTGTTACTTTCATTCTTGGATGGCTATTGCTTCCAATATTTTTCTTCTTTAACAATTATCTTGTCAATAATATTTACATGTGGGAAAACGAGGTAAACAGATCCAAAGATTTCCCCCTTTGTGGTTTTTGTAACCTAAAAACAATATCATGGTTTCTTTGAATGGAGGAATTTTTTAAGATCCCTGTTAAAGGTTCATGAGTGTAAAAGGAACAGTTAGGAAGTTACCTTTAGCTAGTGCTCAAGGAACAGGAGTGGGAATTCAAGAACAGGGGTAGTTGATCAAAGGCTGAACCTTTCCTCTATATATTTTCTATCTGGTTTTGGATTGCACTGGGAAATAAAAATCACCAACAGTTCTCTAGTGTGCTAATTACTGTTTCTTCATTTTCTTTCAGAACTCTTGATGTTTCCGTGAGTTTTAATGGAGGAAAATCTGTCATCTCCAGCTCATTAACAATCACAGCCACAGAATGTGTAAGTAAAAAAATGGCATAAAGTTAATTTTTGAAAGTGATATGTCCAAAAAACAAGCTATGCAGTCTTTGTGCTGTTTCACACCACAATAAAGAAGGTGGAACTTGTTTGTGGATTTCATCGGCATCCTGTAACGTGTGTTGCAATTTTTTGGTTTTGTGGATGTTGCAATTTTTGGTAGGTTTTCTCTTCTCTGAGGATACGGTTGTTTGAGGTTACAGCACTTTGTGGTGTGTAGTTTCTTGGTGTTTAGCTTACTGAAATTGCGTTCTATCTCTTTCCTCTGACTCTGCGCCTCCAGCTGTCTTTATTATCTCTTTCTCCAGAACAGGGAGCAGCTCTGGGCTCCTCCGCTAAGGTCACGCACTACTGCCTCGCACAGTGCTGCCGGATCTGGTGACTCAGCTGGGATTTCAAAGCTTGGAGCTTTCAGGAAGGCCTTCTGGGTCTTCCTAGTTCTTGCAGAGCTGGTTCTGTGTCTTGTGGCAGTTTAAAAGCAAAGTGGTTTTGGGATAAGTTAACACAGGTTGTGTCAGAGACAAGGTGAGGATGATGGGACAAGTTGTAGTATCAAATTAGGGGAAAGAATGATGCTCCCCCAGCAAAGGCTTGAGGAGAGTAACCTAGAGCACGTTCTAGGTTTTCCACATGGGTGCAGGGGCCCAACTACTGGCCCATCCTCTACTGCTTTCCCAGTGCATTAGCAAGGACTCTAACTGGCACCATATGGGATGCTGGCATTGCAGAAGGAGGCTTAGTTTGCTGTATCACAATACCAGATCTCCCGAATCATTCTCAACTCTTAGGGGCCTGACTATAGAGATGGACCTGATTTGTCCCTTAGGTCATATTTGTTCTATGATATCTAATAATCTAAAGCATTTTGGTAAATGGAATTTGCCTTTGTTCTTTACTTTTTTCCTAACTAAATTCACAGGGACAAAATTGTGGAACTGTATTTCCCCTTTTCTGTGTCATTGCTGTGTTTATTTTCTAGATAGATTACAACACATTATTTACGCACTTCGGAAATTTTTGAATGATTTGTCTCTTTTGGATGGTTATTTTGCAAATACAGTAGTGACCCTAATTTGTTATTATGATTTTGTTTAAACTGGAATGTCATTATATTTAGCAGAATGAAGCTTTTTAAAAAGTGGTATAACTTGCTTTTAATGAGAGAAAAAAAATCAGATGAAAATGACACCTGAAACTTGATGCGCCCTGAATGGTTGGGACATTTGTGTTCTATATTATGTTGCTCAAAGAGTCCCAACTAAGCCATGAAGAGAACTTTGGCTTTGTAGACTGGTCCCCCATCTGGGCTTTGAGTCTTGGATTGGCCTCCTTGTTTAACTTTCACCCCAAGTCTTCATAGACATGTGAGTATGCTGCTGTTCAGAACTGGCTTTAGGAAAAATTGATGCAACAAATGGTCAGTTGAAAGGTCATTTAACAAATGACCATTCATCTAACAAATGGCCAATTCTTGTTACAAACCACAGCTTCCCGAAATTTGCGTTTTTCTCCACCATTTCCAGATGTCTTCCAGTACCCCCAAACCCCATGTTCCATCATTTGTCATCTGTTTATATAAGAAATATTAATTTTACTACCCCTGCAGCTTTTCTCCTTTTCATCCTTGCTTGAAGTCCACTTAGAGTCCTAAACTAGGTTAGTCCTTACCTCTATGTGTTTCTATTGCATTTTTCTTAACAAATTCCTCACATTTATAATTATTTGTCTGAGGTTTGTCTTGCTAGCTCAGCTGTAGGCTTCATCTGTACTTGTCCAAAATTCTAACTTTAGTCCCTATTTCACTTTTAGCCAGGTTAGAGGCTCATCAAATATATTTTAGGTGAATGAAAAGCTATTTTTTAGCTTTCAGTCATGTGTAGTTACTGCTCCACTTAGTTTAAGAAAAGTGACATTCCAGTGTTGAATATTGATTAGGGTTTTTTTTTTTTCATTTTTGAACCGAGTTCTAATTAAAACAGGCTCCACCAAGTAAACATGGGACGGCTCTAGTTGCAGCCCATTGTGCAGAGCCACAAATAATCACATCTTGTTCCAACTTTTCTTCACCTCTGAGTCTGCAGTTTGTAGCGTGATTATTCGCCTCACATCTTTGAAATTTACATGCTTTACCCTTTGTTAATTTGTTTATGAAGTTATATGAACAATGGAATGATTTCCTTCCCTTGGGTGAAGTCTTCCCTGCTCAGATAATGTCCCTGGCAATGAAAACAAAGGAAAGGAAAAGCTTGACTTTTATCTAGTGAACTGGGTGGGTGTCTGGGATCCTTGCACTCAGGGCTGTGTCTCTTACAGATGAGTTAAGGTCCTAGAACTCCTTCTTCTGTCATGATTAGTTTATAAATCATACCACACTTGATCTTGGCCAAAAGGCTGAGAAGCGATAGTTTATAAAGTCGAGATTTGTAGGTCTTTAGAAAGTACTTATTTTAAAATATTTTAGTGATTTCTAAATCAGTTGAAGCAATATTGTGGTAGGAAGTGTGGGCTTGCATCTGGAGATGTCGTGTGTTTGTCAGTGCTACTAACAGAGATGTTTCTTTTAGGGAAAAATTAAAATTTCTAGTAGCTGGAAGGGGCAGTCCCTCCACTTCATGTTCTGCCAGCAAGATTTTCTGCATTTCCTGTTCATGACACATATACATGAAAACCCAGAAATTAGTAGATTGTGACAGACTCATGCTTGTGGTTGCATATCCTCATTTCTGAACACAGGATGTGAATTCTAAGAAAAGGGAGGACTAAAAGTTTGTAGAACTCTTTTTTTTTGCCTTAAATCAAACTTTTGTTAAGATTTATTTTATTTATTGGAAAGGCAGATTTATAGAAATAAAGAAAAAAAGAAGGAAAGCTCTTCCATTCATTGGTACATTCCCTTATATGGCTGCAACAGTGGGACCCGATCTGATCTGAAGCCAGGAGCTTCTCTGGGTTTCCCAGGATAGCTCATGGACTTGAGCCATCTCTGCTGATTTCCCAGGCCAGAAGCAGGGCGCTGGGTGGGAAGTATGGAGCAACCTGGATAAGAACCGGAGCTCATATGGGATCCTAAGAATTGTTTTTTAAAGGTGTATTTTTGACAATTTATTTGAAAGGTAATTAGAAAGAAAAAGAGAGAAAGGTCTTCCTCTGCGGATTCAAATTTGTCCAACTGACTGCACCTCCGTTTCTTCCCCGGGTATAGGGAGCTGGGTTGGAACTGGAGCAGCACTTTCAAATCAGTGCCCGTGTGGGATGCCAGTGCTTGCTCCTCCAGAATTCTTTTGAAAGTCACTTAGGAAGGCCAGATGGTGAACCACTTCCATGAGATCCTCATGTGTGGAAGGTCTAGGGGGGAATATGTTTTCATTTTATATATGGGTAGTCACAGATTGAGGAAGTCGTACATGTGCCTTTGGATTTGAAGGTGAGATCAAGAACGTAAACAGTTGACAGCATTTCTCCTGTAGGATCCCACTTTTTTTTTTAATATTAATTTTTTTTTTTAAATACTATATTATCATTTGTCTAGATTTTAGAGCTTAAGCCCAGGGACAGTAGCAAGATTTTCTTATGATTATCTAGAATTCTGTGTATCAGATGCACAGTATTTCCTTAGGTAGTCTGATACATGCTCTCATTTTTTCGCTTAAAGAACAGAGCACTTACTTGTTTGCCTGGGAATTTAGAATGTGATGTGAAATTTTTTTTTCTCTATCTGTTCTCTCTCTCTCTCTCTCTCAATTCTCTGAATACTTTTCCCTTAAAAACAAACAGAAACAGCGAAGTATGTGATTCATACTGGGAGCCCATAGAGTCAGGGTTTGAGACAGACACCTTGTTTCCTTGCAAATTGTCTTTACACTAAGATTTCAGAAAAGATCTTTTTTATATCACTGACTTTTGTAAGTCTTCTTTTTTTGTAGCTCATTCTCTCAGCAAATAGTTTTTAAATGCCAGGCTTATGCAGTGGCATATAGACTGAGTCTAATTTCCACATCCTGGAGCACTTTGTGAATTATGGTAAAAAAAGATAGCTAACTAGAAGCTCATCATGGATTAATCACATTATGATGCTAAAGATTAAAATATAGAAAGCTTTAAAGTAGAATCAGGAGAGGGGCAGTTTCTGGCTGTTACCAGAGATCCTTGCCTTTGTGCAAAAAGTAATTCCTGTGTCAGACAAAGTCATAATAAGCAAGGTAGTGAGGTTTAATGGAGAGAAATGCAGCTGGTAGACCAGCCTGGTACTTCAGGAAAGCCCTGAGTGCCCAGTTCACCTTAGACTAGTACTCAAGGGAGGGCATATGACAGACCAGTAGATATCTCACTTAAGGCTCAAGCAGCCACTCTGTGTTCAGGTTGTAACCTCCTCCTAGTCGCCTTCTGGGAACTTTTTTTTTTTTTTTAATTATTTATGTTGCATTATGTGACACAGTTTCATAGGTTCTGGGATTCCTCCAACCCCTCCCTTTGCCCTCCACCCACGGTGGATTCCTCCACCTTGTTGCAGTATTACAGTTCAAATCCAGTCAAAATTCTTTCTTTGCAAACATATACCAAGCAGAGTCCAGCGTCTTATTGTCCAGATAAGTTCAACAGTTTCTTGTGGAGACCATCTCTGGTCTGAAGGTAGAGCTGGCAGAATATCATCCCGATCAATTCAAAGCCCCAACACAACATCGACAACAATTTACAACATTATGGAGTTAATTGACATGGTATTGAGTAACCGATATGTTAAAAAATTGCGAGTTCTTAACCACACCCTGTGATTACTTCATTGACATTTCAGTTTTAGTTTATACCCAGAACTGGCTGCTATACACCTTAAAATGGCTATGGGGTACTATTTAGCTGTTTACAGTGTTGACGCCTTCTGGGATCTTGGTGTGTAGAAGGCTTCCTGGGAATGGGATCTCTGAAGTCCCTTTCCTGGATTTGTGAGCGCAGTGTTACTGAAGGAGGAGGGGAAGATGCCCTGCCGTTGCCTCCAGGAGAGGGCCAGCCTCCTCACGAGCTTACTGACCACTGTGCTCGTCAGGGTTGCTTTCACATTTTTCCTTGTTCTGCAGCACAGGAATTTTTATTTCCTTCAAAAGAATTTCCCATTTCCTTTATAAATTCTCATTTTTAGAAAAGATTTATTCCATTTTATTGGAAATGCAGATATACAGAGAGGAGGAAATAGAGATCTTCTGTAAGCTGATTCACTTAAGCCAGTCTGAAGCCAGGAGCTGGGAATCTCCTCTGGGTCTCCCATGTAGGTACAGGTCCCAAAGCCTTGGGCCGTCCTCGACTGCTTTCCCAGGCCACAGGCAGGGAGCTGAATGGGAAGTGGGGCCGCCGGGATTAGAACCGGTACTCATATGGGAAACTGGTGGATGCAAGGCGAGGATTTGGTCACTAGGCTATCACACCGGGCCCCCAAATTCCCCATTTTCTTTGGCTGACCTTGCCCGCATTAGGCTATTGTCTCCCCAGCTACCTAGCATAGCCACTGGCTTAAGGAAAGCTCGCAGAAGACCCAGCTTGCTCTGAACCCTGCAGGTTGAAAGACTGGGAGGTTTCTAGCTGAAGGGGTTTAGGGCAGACCCCAGAACTGGTGATTCGGGGCTGGAGAAGCCGGGCAGTCAGGGCGGGGTGATTCTTTTGTAGGTAATGCTTGAGCTGCAGGAGAGGTTATCTGGTAGGTTTTATGGCTGTGTCAGAGTGCACTCTGCACGGGTTGTACATAGCCTTTGCCATCAACGGTGGTGATTCTTGGGTTGTCTGCATGCTGATTTTGTATATCTTGTTTTACAATTTAAATATATATATAATGTTACAACATTGATGAGTCTGAGGGAATTCTGCCTAAATTCTGCTTTTGGGGTAGTCATACTTGAAACTGACATTATTCTTGCTCAGTTGCAAGAAAAACAAAACAAAGCAAAACAGGGCTGGTGTTGTGCTGTTGCAGGTGAAGCCGTCAGTAAAGCTGGAATCCCATAGGGTCTCAGGTTTGAGTCCTGGCTACTGTGCTTCCAGTCCAGCACCCTGCTACCGTGCCTGGGGAAGCAGCACAAGATTGAGCCAAGTGTTTGGGTCCCTGCACCTGCATGGACAGCCTGAATGAAGCTCTCGATCCTGGCTTCGGCCTGGCCCGGTCCTGGCTGTTCTGGCCATTTGGGAAGTAAACAAACAAGAGATAGTCTTTCCTTTTCTCTCTTGCTTCTTCTCCAAGAAACACTGACTTTTGAATGAATAAATACGTCTTAAACATAGTAGGGCCCATTTATCTAATTTCAAATCATGATTTTTTCCTTTAAGATGTATCTGAGACCAGTTTTTGGAAGATTTTATGTTTATTGTTGCATGTGTCTTAACGTAATATAAGTTAAACAGAACATAAGGGGAATTTTTTTGGAATTTTAAAAAAAGATCTTATTTATTTTTGTTGGAAAGTCAGGAGAGACTGACAGGAATATCTATTTGCTGATTCACTCCCCAAGTGGCCGCAATGGCCAGAGCTGAGCCGATCCTAAGCCAGGAGCCCAGAGCCTCTTCTGGTTCTCCCACATGGGTGCAGGTTCCCGAGGCTTTGGGCCATCCTTGACTGTTTGCCCAGGCCACAAGCAGGGAGCTGGATGGGAAAATGGGGCCGCTGAGATTAGAAGCAGTGTCCATATAGGATCCTGGGGCATGCAAGTCGAGGACTTTAGCTGATAGGCTACTGCGCAGGGCCCGAGTTTTGGAATTTAAGCAATCTAAATGACTACAGGAGAAATATGGATTGATATTCTTATTTTCTACATTATTCTCTGGAATTTTCTTTAAAAATATGAACGTGACTAGATACTAGGAAGGATGGGTAGGAGAGAGGTGAAGTGAGACTGGCTGAAGGCTAACACAGCTCGGTTAGGTAGAGGTAGCAGGTTGAGGCGTTGTAGCAACACAAGTTCACAGTGATGCCGTGAAGAGCTGGCGAAGAACTGATCAGTTCCTGGAGGAAGGCTGTGGAGGTGGGGATGGGATTGCCTGCTTGGTTAAGTTCACAATGTATGCATATGTGTGTTGAAATACAGCACTGTGGTGAAGGTATCAAGTATCACATGTTAACCAGAGATTTTTGTTGTTGTTTTTAAATAATGCCCATGGGGTTTGACCCTGAGCTTTGCTGACTGCTTTATCTTTTTGTTTTCTGCCGACTTCAGTCTAATGGGATTGCGGCCATCATTGCTATTTTGGTGCTGTTGCTGCTTGTGGGAATTGGCTTGATGTGGTGGTTTTGGCCCCTCTGCTGCAAAGTGGTGAGTAAGAAGGACTGGCAACTCTACTGTTCTTAAATAGTAAGATAAAAAATTAAGACCCCAAACACAAGTGAGTCATGCTGTGTTGTTCGACAACACAACGGGTTCAATTAGCAAATTGGATTTTAAGCGTTTTCATCATCATCATAAATTCTCAAAACATGCATAGCAGTAAATGTTTATTGGAAAAATTTCGTCTACAAAGTGCTTCAAAATCAAGCTTGTGGGGAGAAGTGGTGAGAAAGGTCAGGAGGCGTTTGGAATAACAATTGTTTCCACTTAAGCATAACAAAAAGCCAAACCAATCAAAAAAATTTTTTTGGTATTCACTTTTGAAAAAGTGTTTATTGAATCTTTTCTTCCCTTTGAATGTTCTATTATTTCAGGACCTTCTTTGTGTTTGAGAAACATTTTAGAAGTTAGTCATGTGCAAATGTTAGTATGTTAAACAGTGCCTTTTGGAGGAACAGCAGGTGATTTCCATTTGTGTAATTTCTTGTGTTTTCAAAAAGCGTGTGAAAAATATGACTTTGTACTGTCTATTGCTACTGTAACTAATTGTCGCATACTTGGTGGCTCAAATCAACAGAAGTTTGTCAGTTGTGTGATCATGGCTTCAACCCAGGCTGACCTGTGCTAGCAGGTGTCCACGAGACATGCTCTACGGCAGACTCCATCGCCTTGCAATCTTTAGCATCTAGATGCCACCACACTTCCTAACTTCTGGTCTCCTTTCTTTGTGTTGAAAGCCAGCAGCACTGCATCCTGCTGACCTCTGTAGTCACATCTGCTTCCCTTACATTTGGAGGGTATTTCCTTTAAGTATAAGGAAGTGGATGATGAGGTTGGAGCCACTTGGATCATCTTCCCTCCTGCCACATCAGGTGACTCACTCACAGCACTGGAGTAATTAGTGATGGACAGCTTTGGAGGGGCATTATTCTGCACACCATAGGACAGTAGGATAGGAGGTCAAGGAATACAGTTCAGACAGTCTCAGTGGAGATTGTTTCAGAGCAGGTGTTATCCAGAGGAAGTCCTGTTTCACAGCATGCTTGTGACTTCTTCTGAGAGCCTTCCTTTGATTATAGACACACTACCTAGAACTGTACAGTGAGGATTTGCATCTTACTGGGTTTCCCCTGCTCTTACCTCTGCTTACTGATTGCAGCTCCTTTGCAGTTTCAGGCAGTGCTTTGTAGATCATCTTTGTATTTATTATTAATTGTACTTTCATGAGGCAGCTTGTTCATCTTTTATCTCAGAGCACTTGGCTCCTGGAGGAGGTCTAGAATTAATACAGACAACAGCATGGACAAGAAACATCCTGCCTCTTTGCTGAACTAATCAGTTTCCTGCCATAGCAATTTATGCCTAGGCGGTTTCCTGTTGTAAGCTTGATTATCCTCGATATGGCTGTTTTAGGACGGCTAGCATTTTTGAGTCTCAAATTAAAAGCAAAAGGTGCCCTAACGTGATTTGTGCTTCTTGGTTTTTTAATTTAACTTTTACAGTCATGGATTTGCTTCCCTCATTACTTCATAATTTCATTCACTGTTGGCCAGAAGTTTTCATAAAGCCAAAGTTTATGCTTTTTTTTTTTTTTTAAGCTGAAACAGGAGGCTTTGGGATGCTGATCAAATGTTTTCAAATGCAGGTTTCAGTGATTGTTTTTGGCATCAGAAAGGAGAAAGATCATCTGTTAGTGAGAGTAGATCCTTTCACCCCTGGGACCCTGCGATGTGCAAATCATGAAGTTATCTGTAGGGAAGGAATAGAGGACTCCTTGTCATGTAGTTTCAGAATGTTCCATAGACTTCCTGTTCTCAGAAACATCATGAAAACTTCTCCAGTCTTAGAACTATGTAACAGAGACAGTCACCTTTATTTTGCTCTTAGAGATACATAGATTTAAAAACAGCTGTTCATGAGTATGAACTTATGTTTTTCCTATGTTTAACTAAATCATAGAAAATATTTTCTAAGGTAGATTTGAAAGCAAGGAGCAGATAGAAAATCCTGTGTTCTAACCTTGGCGGGTCTTTCCTTGTCATCTAGCAGGTGCCAGTGTTAGAAAGTGGGGATATGAAAATTCTTATAATTTGATAGTGTATGGAAATTCATATTTTAATATGTAGACACAGAAATGTGGGCAAGTAATTGTGACTGGAGGGTCACGAGTACCTTGATAGCAGCCCGTGTCAGGAACAGTAAGAACATGTGCAAGGATTTGCCAGAAACTCAAGGGAGCGTTTCCCAGAAACCTGACTGGGTCAGTGACCCCAGTCTGAGTTGTGAGTAATGAATAAAACATTGACTGTTGACAATGGACATATCATTTGAAATGTATGTGAAGTTATGAGTTGTTTTGGCATGCATTGGAAAGTGTCAGTCTGATATCCAGTATACTGGATGGTTTAGGTTTTCATCAAGAACCCCAATGGGGAGGGCCTCCTCCATCCTTTAGGAGCTCTGAACTCCTCCTGGTGGTGATGCAGCCTGCTGGGAGGATCCAGTTAGTATAACTACTTGTGAGAAGCTTTGCTGGCCTTACAGTAGTGTGGACGTCTGGTCCTGGTGGGATTTAATTCATCTTCTTTCCAACTGACTTGCTCCCACAATGAAAAAGAATGATCAGTGACAGCTGCTGGAGCTAGGAATCTCTAACCACGTGTAGATGATGGAATCTTAAAGCTGGAAACAAAGCAACAAAACAAAAATCAGAGGCTGTGGGAGCAGAAAGGGAAGGTGGGACCATCCACCCTGTAATGTGTTTCATAGAGCATGCTGTGGAACAATTGTGTGGTACTTAATTCGTTTTGATCCTGTTAGAGAATATATGTGTGCAAGGCTGAACTTAGAATGTGGCCAGTTAAGTCATTCTTTGCAGTAGTAAATTAAATGAAATACATTTATTTTCACTTCAGTTGTTGAAATTTCCTTTTGTTTGAATGTGATTTAGCTACTAGTGGCAAAATTTTAAATCTAGTCTTTTAGTTGAAATGTGAAAAAGGTGGCATGAAAGTTAAGTTCTGAGGCCTATTATTATGGTATCTGTTGTCCACCTCCATAGGCATCATATGCCCAGGACCTCTTACCAAGACCAAGAGCCTTGAAGGAAGTCCTGAACAGAGTCTTCAGTGTTTGTCACATAGTCTCTGATCATTTCATGTTTTATGAAATATTAAGACTTGAAACATTGGATCATACTTTATTAAAGGATGAAACTGTTGTTGTTAAAATGCCACATATGTCTAATCAGTGTTTGAATGACCATGTTACTTTGTTTTAAACCACTGAGTGTCAGTCCATTTTCCTCCTTTTGTTTTCTACTCCACATGATGGGAAGGCTCTTAGAACCGTGGCGCTTGGGGTTCTACCAGTGCTGATCCTGCTCGGGAGGGTGGGGGTGTAGAGACATCTGCAGAGGTCACTGCAGTTGGAGAGAACCCTTCTGGTAAGATGAATAAATATCCACAGATATCCAGGTCTGGAACATGTGAATGTTGCCTGAGGCAGTCAAAGGCCTGGCTCAGGTGACCAAGTTATGGATCTAGAATGAGGGAATTCTCTAGGACGATCTAGCTGGGCTGTGAATGCAGTTTTACGTTATATGAGAGAACGTGAAAGGAGATTTGAACCAGATGATGGGAAGGCCGTGGGCCTTGAGGTAGAGATCTGAGTGATGCACTCACAAGCCGGGGGATGCCACCAGGCAGTAAAAGCTGCAGAGACAGCAAGAACTTGAACATTTAACCGAATCATGTGTCTGAGATGGAAACATCCCTGGTTAACTGGAACAGTCTGGGTTAGGACATGAACATGTAGCAGAAGCATCTCTGGAATATTTTAATTTGTAGTCAAATTTGTTAGAGGTTTTGTTTTTATTTGTGACAGGAGAGAGAGAGAGAGATTGATTCAGATTCAGAGAGCTCTTTCCATCCACTGGTTCATTTTCTAAATGGCCGCAGTGGCTGGAGCTGAGATGATCTGAGCTAGGAGGTTTGTCTAGGTTCCCCACATGAGTACAGGGGCCCAGGTCATAAACTGGGACCTGCTGCTTCCCCAGGTCATAGACAGGGAGCTGGATCAGAGAAGAGCAGCTGGGACATGAACCTACGTAGACTAGGCTGATATGGGATGCTGACATCACAGGCAGAGGATTAACATACCAAGCCATGTCATCAACCCCTAGTTAGAATTCTGAAAGTTACCTTGTCAGGTGAGAAAATAGTACTTTTTTGGGTAAAATTTTAGTAAAGTTATTATTAAAAGCTTAGTATTGAAAAGCTCTGCCCTCTTACTGATTACTCATTTCACTGGTTGGGTACTGAGTATGTTTTATGTAACTTTAGTGTGTTTCACAGGAAATACACTGAATGTTGAATACAGCTTCTTGAATTATCACAACTTTTGAATAAGAAGCTTTGTATCTCTTTGTGTGGAAATTAGATCGATAGTATTTTCTTGACAGTTACGCTAGAATTTGTGAACTATGGAAAAGTGTTGTGTGTGAGTATTTGTGGCACAATCTTGGTTCTTTTTGATTTTCATTCGCTTCACTTAATGTTTTTCATTTATCATGTGTATAGAATAGGAAATATGGCCCTGGTAGCATGATTTTGTTAGAACTGAGATACAACTGGGAAGGAATTTCTTGACTGTTATAAAAGAGAGGTGGAAGCAGTTTAACTCTTGTTTAGTTATGCTGCATATTCTCAATGGGGCCTTTAATCTGAAGAATGTGTGTTTCTATGACAAAAATACATGTGTGTTTTTTACTTGAAACTGAATCTGCCATTTCTCTGTTGTTAATATGGGCCACTTTCCAAGAGAGTTTTAGCATTTGTAATAGTTATCGTATTTACCCTGTATCTCATTTGTAGCTGAGATATTTTAAAACATATCTTATGTGAATGATTCCTTAAACATTAATGATATTTGCTAGGCCTTGTTCTAGATTACATTAGTTAATGAATTACAAGCAAGCACACATTTTT